TTACTTCACGGCCAGAGCGGCGGGAGACAAAGAGTCCCGGCGGCGAGGCCTGGGCGCCGCCATGTGGGTCGCGGGAGGGCTGGGGCGTCCGAGCGGCCGCGACTGGCAACCGCGTTCGTGCCAGGGGCCCCAGATCGCTCCCCATCTTAAGCGAGCCTAGCCCTCGGGCCTAACAAGGGCTTATTTATATGTCGTACGGCACAGGTTTAAACATGGCTCCCCCCAGCTAGAGGTAGACGGGTGGGCGTGGCCACCACGCCTCCCGTAAAGTTCAGAAAACCCAGAATCCTGTTCTCTGGAAAGTTGCCAAGTAGCGGCCACAGCCTCAAAGTCGCGACTGAGTCTGCGCATCGACCGCTGGGGCTGGGAAGCTTGTACCGTGGCGAGGCGGCATAATACAGCGCTCGATCTCGGGTTATCGGCGCGGATCCAGGATAAATGGGATAGGTCAAAAAAGGAGGCAGTGACAGTTCAGGACCTGCGCAGGGTGGTGACCGGATGACTGGTCTCACTGACGGTATGGGTGCCCATCAGGGTCAGAGGCGAGGGCACTGTGGAGTGGAGGGATTGGGCTTGGGATCCTCCTGGCGGGGCCGATGGGGGCAGTGTCCGTGGAAGAGGCCAAAGGTTTGTGGGCTTCAGTGGCAGTGTCTCTGAGAAGATGGGTGGGGAATATGTAGGCATCAGTAAAAGGGTTTTTTTCACTGGTCGGACGCATGGAGGTCAGTTATAGGGGCCGTCAGGGGTCTGAGGCCAAGTGGAATCTTGGAACACAGACGGGAACAGCTTCAGGGCTTGCGATTGGATGCCTGAGAGTCAGTGACGGGAAGTTCTAATCTGTGGGCAGTAATACTTTGGGTACCTGTACTAGTGATCCTGGAAGCTTTGAGGCTGAAGGGTGAGGTGGGGTCAGTGGGCATCTGTGAGAGAAACGCTTTAGTTTAAGACTTCCTATCATCCGTGGTGGGGACCTGAGGGTATTATTGATTGGACTTTTGTAGATAGTCAATGGGTTAGCGGGATGAGTTGGAGGGACAGGTAGGACTGTGAGGATCAGCGATTATTCCCATCATTGAAAAACACTGGGGATCAGTGTTATTTTGTGAGGGGGAGGGGAGGAATGATTCACTGTTTGATCATCAGAATGAATCTGCCAGCTTAGCAGTCCCTGATTAAAGGTGTTTATGGTAAAAAAAAAAAAAAGTGTTTATGGTCATATTTGTACATATGGGAGTTTCATCAGTGAGTCAGTGAGTACAAGAAGTTCTGAGGGCTCTAGGTTGGGAAAATCATAGTATCTATGATTAGGCAGCATGACAGGTGTTGGCATTAAAGAGATTTGTAAAACTAAGATGTTAGAGTCGAGGATTTGGGGCTGTACCCCTACATAATGGGAACACACTTCACCCATGGGACACTCCCCAGCTAGAGTAGCCAAAGCTGAAACCTGCCAACTACCTTTTATTATTTGCCATTTCAATGAAAGTACTTTGAAAAGATCAAGTGTAAAGCTTATTAAACTGTTAAATTATTAAAGTACTACTGTTGCTTTTGCCAAGGATCTAATCATATTTCTTCTAATATTTTCTTTCAGGTTCTTTCTACAAAGGTAATGACATGTCTCTCTGTAACAGCATACCAAGAGTGAGCCTGGCTTCTGGAAGCCTAGACTAATTCCATGGCAGCTAAGATAGATGTGACTTTACCTGTGGTTGGAAAACAAAGAGTTTACTGAGTAAGTACTGTAAAAGATTTAGCTGAAGGAACAAACATTGAAAACATGTATAAAATGATCTGATGGTGCCATTAGTAAAATATTTTTTGTTCTCACCATTAAGAAAAAAAAAAGGTAATTACGTGAAATGACAGAGGGTATAATTATTCCTCTTTGGGTAATTATATTGCAATAAATATATGTCAAATCCTCATGTTCACTAAACTTACATAATGTTAGCTGAGATGTCAATTACATCTCAGCAAGTCTAGAAGAAAATAAATGCTATAAGGAAAAGAAACGGTCTGGAGGTTGAAGTTACTGTATTCTAAAAATCTTTAGGTTCATCCTGTATATTTTAGGTGTAACATGTTTGACCTCCATTTATCCGTTCTTTATAAAATCCCAGCAGGACAGTTCAATAAAGCTAAAACCATAACTACCATCACAAAACACAAACTAAAGCTACTTTAGAAACTGCTCTTCATTGAAATCACATTTTTTTCCTTCATGTAAATTAAAGTCAAATTAATGGTGATTGAGATGGCCAGGGACAAATGGGGACCTCCCTAGTGGCCGAGGGGCTGTGCCTTAGCGTTATCATTACTATAGCCTGAGTGTAATCCAGGTCTGCTGACCCACATGTCACCGCAGACCTCTCCTGTCTCACCCACTGCTCCCCTCAGCAGTGTATTTCAGTAAACTGACCAGTTCTGCTCCCTACTCTGTCTCTGGTGAATCCTCTCACCACCCTACACTTCTGGCCTGTACCCTAGTTTTTCTAGGCAAAAATTTTCTTTATCTTGTTTCCTTCCACCTTTCATATTTCCTTAACTAATTTTAATTAAGACAGAAAACTACCCACGTAGTTAGAACTCAATTTTTTTTTCCCACAGAGGCACACATTTCCCCCTTCCTCCCGGATGTTTCACTTACTTGGAGTTCAGGATCAGGCTAAAATGATCTGTGATGTTACACGTGGGGAGACTCATTCCCCTTGGCAGGGTAGTGACCAGGAAGGGGCTTTCCAAGTACTGTATTTTCTGATTTGAAGGAATTACTTGGAAGTGTTCCCTTCTGACAATAAAGAGCAGTACATTTATGCATTTATATACACTTTTTAAAATTTTTTTTAAATTTTAAAAAAAATATTTATTCATATAGAACTGGGGTACAGGCTAGAGATGCGGAGGGTGATAGGATTCACCAGAGACAGAGCGGGGAGCAGAACAGGCAGATCGATGAAGTACACTGCTGAGGG